CAAGCCTATGCTGTGTTTCACCTCCAAAGTCTCCTTTCAGAAGGTCTGGTCAGAGCCAGAGAGTGCATTTCTGACAGTTCCCAGGTGACTCTTTGATAAGCACGGGTCGTGCTGGCTCAGGTAGGATGCCGTTGGCACTCATTCCAGGGCCTGGCAGAAAGAGGAAAGCGAGGAGAGGAAGGATCTATACACCCAAATCCCCGGGTCCCATGGTCATCTCAGCATGCAGGCTCCCCACAACAACTCTAGCATTGTCTCACTCTTTAGTAACTGTACCACTTTGGTGCCCTGAAGTTCTCTTATACATGCTCACCCATCTCCTCTTCACTTTGGAAGATTATACCCATTCTTCAAAACCTAGCTCAGGCATTCATAAAACCTTTGTCTGCTCTCCCTAATGAAGGAAGTAATTTTTCCTTCGTTAGCACTTTGTACTTTTTATGTATACTGTCTTCTGTGTTAATTAATTCCATACGTGTATATTCTTCCTAAATCTTGCATTTCATGAGATCAAATTCTGTTATTTACTTAGTGACTGTATTGCAGTGTCCATAGAGCAAAGTAATTTGCCCTTAGCAGCTACTCAATAATTGTCAGTACAGTTGAATTCAATATCAGAAGAAAATAAGTGCAAATAGATTTTTAAGTTAAAAGCCTGTAATTTAGGCTATATTTTAAACCAAAAGAGACCTATATTAGTTAGAAACTTAACCATATATAACATTAGATTGTTCAAATATATTTTTGCCCTAAGTAGAATAGTCACTGCTGTTGGTTCAGAAACATTGACTTGAAAGAAAATACAACTAAAGAAATCATACGTTCATGCTATGAACACGTATATACTGTGTCATGGTGTCTCTGAGAGCTAGCTTAGTTTTCTCCACGTCATTCTATCCCAACTAGAACCAGGGCTTAAATTTCAGCTTGATGGATTATCATCCATTTTATTTTAGTATCAGGCGGAAGGAATATAATATAGCTAACTGTCTATGAGGTGTCAAGCAATTATCTCAATTTCTTTTAAGTTTCTTTCCATGCTTTATTACTTGCTAGTTATAGCTAAATAGAGTGCAGCAGTCTTAGAGATCTTTATCCATAGGTGTAACTTTTGTAAACAGTTGTTCTTTATTCTCTCAGTGGAAAAACGTCTTAGGACTATTTGTAAGAAACAGATAGAGAGCAACATACAAAATAGAAGGAATTTTCTTTAATCTTTTCAATGCCTATTGTAGACCACTCTTATTAACTACTCAAGGGGTAACTAGAAGCTACCGTTCTTGAATCTAATTACATATTTAGTTCCACAAAGCATAATAATTTCTCCATCTGGGGCTATGAAGGGGAGAAAACCCTCCACTGGCAGCTTGCCAAGGCTATTCTATGCTCTTCACAAAGTTTGTCTGCCAAAACTAGAGGGTCCCCCAGCCTCTGACACTGAGGTCAGAGAATTAGATTCCACTGTACAATCCCAGTGATAGCAATATGATTATGCTTTTGCTGACAGCTACTTGCCTGTGTCTCAAGTTTGAAACTTAAAATAGCTAAAATATTGGCTGGTTTTGATGATTACCAAAATCCATCGCTTGAGGGAGAAAAAATGGTTAAGGGTTTTGACTCACATTTTTAGGTGCCAATGTAATTTTCAAATTCCATCTATATAATGAATTTTTGTTAAATAAAAAAAAACTGTCTAAGTTCTAGTAATTCTCAGTAAACATTCTGTAGGTATGTGTGATTTGCAAATAAAAATGCTTAATTTGGCTTTTTTTTTTTTTTTTTTTTTGAGATAGAGTCTCGCTCTGTCACCCAGGCTGGAGTGCAATGGCTCACTGCGACCTCCACCTCCCTGGTTCAAGTGATTCTCCTGCCTTAGCCTCCCAAGTAGCTGGGATTACAAGTGCGTGCAGTCATGCCTGGCTAATTTTTTTGTGTGTTTTTGTAGAGATGGAGTTTCACAATGTTGGCCAGCCTGGTCTCAAACTCCTGACCTCAGGTGATCCGCCCCCCTTGGCCTCCCATAGTGCTGGGATTGCAGGCATGAGCCACCGCACCTGGCCTAATTTGATTTATTTTTATGAGACAAAATTGGTATCTTTTTGGAGCAGGGGAGCTTCTGTTAATCTAGAGCTGCCATTTTTGTTATTAATGTCAACCATTGCCTCATAACAAATAGTGTTAAGAATTATTGTAATGATCTGACCAAGAGTAAGTTTGTAGGAATTTGTATGGTAAGAAAATGATTCAGAGGTCCTCCCAAACTAGATTTTTCCTTATTATTATTTTCTACCTCTATAGAAAATAGAGAAAAGAGCATAAAAAAGTATTTCAGAAGAATACTTCTTACACCGTCACCCTAGAAAGGAAACATTATTTATGCTGCCAAAAAAGGCAGTAACTATGTCCCTTATTTCTTCTCAAACCACAAGCCTTTATTAAATTTGGGTCCTGTACTTTTTTCATGCCACATGCGTGAAAGTTTTGCCTCCACTTTGCTTTTCTGTTTGAACGAGGTAAAGAACCCACAGGAAAGTTTGGAGTTAAATGAGTGACAGTGGACAAAAGGGAAGGAGCGAGTTTCTTAAGGCCCATCCCTGACACAGAGAAACTGGAGTGGGAGGCAGCAGCATGAACCTGCCTGGGGCCCACAAATGGCTGCCTCATGGGGACCATGGGTGCCAACAAACACCCTGGACCCTCTCCTGGGAAAGAGGCAGCTGATCAGGAGGCATTAAAAAAAGTGTTACTTTCACTTTAACGTACCATGGGCTTTGAACAAGTAAAAGGGAACCTTTAATTCTTCCTAGTGGACTCAATGAAGCCTGCGTAAAGAGAGTATGCTTTGAGCTGCTTTGGAAGGATAGACTAGATTTTTCTGAGGAAGAAGGGCAATTTTAGTAACCTTTACTGGAAAGCTCTTGTGATTTAGATATATTTCTTGCTCTGAAAGAGTTGGTAGAAGAAAAAAACATGAGCGGTCCATATAGTTAAAAAACATAGGATATGCTAGTGACTCTAAAATACCTAAATATCTGTCTATGTTATACAGAAGAATTTGGGGTAAATTTAAGTTTACCCTAAGTTTTAAGTATAGTTATAATACAGATTTAGTAGTTTGGAAATTGTTATAGAAATGTCCTTTGGTTTACCAAAGAAAATAATTTTTACTTGAAATTTCATTGCTAATACCAGTAAAATGAGATTTGATTTCTCATTTCATTCATTGTAGGCAGTCTTTGTGCCACTTAGTACCGCATAGGTTTACCTCATTTTTTGCAATATTTTTTCTGTAAATATGCATGTAAACAATTCATACACTTACAGTTTATATTCCAAAGAGCAGGTTACTTTAAAAATTCCGTTTGGTTTGCCTAGGTTTTAGTTTGTTTTTCCCAGCAGCACAGTCAGCTTTCTTTCGTTCTTTTTCTTCTTTCTTTCGTTTCTTTTCTTCTTTCTTTCCTCTCTCCCTCCTGTTCTTTCCCTCTTTCTTTCTTTCTTTCTTTCTTTCTTTCTTTCTTTCTTTCTTTCTTTCTTTCTTTCTTTCTTTCTTTCTTCTTATTATAAACTCACAAAAGTCTGATGTGTTAATGAAAGGGAATTTGGAAAATACAAAAATTAAATTACACCCGTAGTGCCTATTGAAATACTTTAATTGCTAATATTTTGATAACTTTTCTGTTTTAAATTAACTTTTAGTTCTTTAATTTTCTGTTTAATTTTTTTTCCAAATTCACCATCAGTTTAGATTATTTTATTAACATTTATAGTCTATTAAATTCAAATAACAGTTTATGTTTATTAAATAAGCCCTTACTATATGCCAGCTGCTCTTCTGTGCCCTTTACATTTCATGCTCTCAGCAAGCCTATAAAGGTAATGTATTATTGCTCCAGTTTTACAAATGAAGAAGCAAAGCTCCAAAGAGGTTAATTAAATAACTTGCCCCAGGTCAAATAACTAATATATGTGGTGTTCTAGGGATTTCCAACCAGAGTCGACACCAGAGAATGTGATCTAAGCCACAACATTGTACAGCTTTTCATATGATTAATGGTTGCATATTAAAGAAATTATATTATGAATCTTAGAGATCTGTTAGAAAGCTCTCAGATAACACCCATCTGAGAAGACTTTGCTGGCTACCTATGTAAAATAGTATCCCTCACCCCATCTACATTATGCTCTATCCTAATCTTCCTGCCTTGTTTTTCTTTTTTTTTTTTTGAGATGGAGTCTTGCTCTGTTACCCAGGCTGGAGTACAATGACACGATCCCAGCTAACTGTAACCTCTGCCTTGTGGGTTCAAGCGATTCTCCTGCCTCAGCCTCCTGAGTAGCTGGGATTACACGCACGCGCCAACACGCCCAGCTAATTTTTGTATTTTTTAGTAGAGGCAGGTTTCACCATGTTGGTCATGTTGGTCTCGAACTCCTGACTTCATGATCTTCCTGCTCTGGCCTCCAAAAATGCTGGGATTGCAGGCATAAGCCACTGCGCCCGGCCCTACCTTGTTTTTCTTTATATCTCTAATCACTATCTGATGTGGTAAATATTTTTGTTTTACTATTCCCCACCGTCTCCTATTAGAATGTAAGAGTCACTGACTTAGTCTGTTTTGTTTATTGCTATATTCTCCAATAACTAGAACCTTGCTTGGCGCATAATAGGTATTCACTAATATTTGTTGAATGATTGAATGACCTCTACCCTCAGTTTGGGTTTGTGTAAATTCTGATTTAAAAAAAAAAAAAAAAACAAAAACCTCCTTTGGACTGATAGACTAGAATACCCCCAAGATCTGCATTCCCCCTTAATAAATCCTGGCCTGATGCTGCCACTGTCTGAGAGTCTCAGGATGATGGGCAACTTAAGTACACCCCACTCTGGACAGGAGAGGAGAGGGGTAGGGGAACAGAGGAGCGGGAGAACAGGGAGAAGTGGGGCGGGGGTGGGGCATTCTGCACCTAGCCATGATATTGTGTGCCTACCGAGAGCCAGATTCTTGTTTCCAGACAGTTTTTGCCAGTTGTACTTGTTATTATAATGACATAATTTAATTAAATATATGTAACGTATCGAGTGTGAGTTTGAAAAGATACATTTGTTTCTGGAAAACTGAGACTCAAAGTGAAATGAACAAACGTTGCTGCCAAATGGGTGTATAGGACACATAACACATGTCTAATACACTGAGAAAAAAATCATACAAATCTGTACCTTATAAGTACTTTTAAGAAATCTAAGTGTCTATAAGTTCTAGGTCTGTTTTGAATAAACAGAAATTGGAGAGTAGAGACTGGTTTTATTGTCCACTATTTATATGATAAATTATAGGTATGATTTTTGCAAGAAAAGCACTGTGAAACACCAGTGGAGACTGAGAGTCAAAGTTACATTTGTGTTTAAAGTTAAAAGGAAATTATTAAAGTGGTATGTATCATTTTTACAATTACCCTTCATAACTGACTTTAAAAATTAACCAGTTACCATTTCTGAAACAGAAGAAAGAAGGTTTTTACTGTTTTGAGTGAAACTGAGCGTTATTGGTATGCCAGATAAAATTTCTAGTTGGTGTCTTACTAACTTCATAATAAATTCAATAATAGCAAAAATATTTGCTTATCTTCGGGGTATAATTGTGCATGAGCTGAGCATGATATCTTTTCTGTGCTGGAATGTGAGCTGCAGGAGGACAGGGATTGTTAGCTGTCTTGTCATGACTTTCTCTCCAGTGTCTGCAGCAGTGCCTGGAGCATTAGTTATTTATTGAATAAAGGGATACATGATTCTAACATACACACTGTTTAACAGAAAGAAGTGTTTTACATTTCACAGTGATACAGTTTTTAAGAAAAAGAAAAGGGCTTTCAAATTACGTAGTCACTGTTTACTAAGTTAAAATATACTGCTTCCTATAATATACACTAGTTTATAAATTTCTCTCTTCAGTGAAAGTGTCAAAGTATAGGAACCTTTAATGCCCACATTACAGTGGTTAAGAATTGAGGAACTGTTTGGATTCATGAGCTCCAAGATTTCCTGTGTGGCCTTTTTCAAGTTACTTTATTTCTCTTGTACTTCAATTTCCTCATCTATACAATGGTGATAATCAGGCTGTTACAGGAACTGAAGGAGTGCATACAGGTAAAGTACGTAGAAAATGCCAACCAATGTAGAAACACTCCATAGATGGTTATTATCATTACACCTGTGATCTGTGTGACTTAGGCAAATTACTGGAAACAGGTTAGAGAGGTTATATAATCTATAAGATGTATATATACATATCAAATTGTGGTTTTTAAGCAAGGAAATATGTGCAAAGTAACCTAACTCATAATAAGTCTTCGATAAATGTTAGCAAAAAACCTAAACAACATATTATGCTGTGAGAGAGAACTCTCATTTATTTAAGAACTGTTGACAACTCAAATGATTTAAAAAAACACTATTTGTATAGGTACAGACTGTCTTGCCCTTGCCAGTTAACTTTCTCATGAATTGGAAAGTCATTTTTTAAATCTCATAACAAAATTTAAAATGAGTTTCAGAATAAAGAAAGATAATTGAATTTTAGTCTGGACAAGTTATGAAACTCAAGCACAAGCACTACATTGTAGTCCTTGGTTTGATGACTTCTTTCCAGAATGCTAAGCCTTTGGTGAAAACTGGTTTTCAGAATAATAAAAAGACACTGAGTACACTCTTCTTGAAGGGGAGAGAAAATGCTTACATTATGCAAGGAATGCAGCTTCTTCCCGTGATGTTTTCTCATCTGAGGCCTTATTAAAACCTAGTCTTGCTATTCCTGGCCATATTCGCACCAGCTGATGTCGATATATAAGCAGTCCAGTGACAGGCTATGTTAAGGAACTTGGCCTATGAGAATTCAGAAAGTAGAAACCATCATATGCCACTGATGTCAGACTAGACATTTTCCCCCATGTTGGTAATGATAGTTTAGAACAGCTCCCTGCTACTTATGTATTCTGCCCTGAATTTTGCTAAGATAAGACTTTTAAGGAGGTTTTCCCCTTCTTTAGGAGAGATGCAGATGATGGATATGTTACAGCAAAATATTTGTGTAACCACTGAACATGAATGTAGCCATTTATTTGATTATTGCAGCATGTGTTAAAGAGCTGCTGCTGCCCGTTTGCAGCCTAATGTGTTTATTACAGTCTTCCCAATGGCATCTTGAAGTGTCTTTCAGCTAAAAAATTCATGAGTATTATTGGCTTTCAGTCAGAAAATGGAATATGTCTTCTAGTTACTATCTAATATACCACTTTAAGGCCATTATACAAAAGTAATCTAAGAGTAGACGATACTGAGAGGAAGAAATTTTTAGCTTAAACATTTGTTTATACACTGTTATTACTGTTCCTGGACTAAGACACAGCATAAGAGAAGGTAGGTGCTAAAACCATTTTACCTAGAGACTAGTTGTAGTTGTAGGATATGTTGCTCTCTTTAATCCTCTACCTAATGATAAATGGCTAGTGTTTTAGTATTGAAAAATCATATCCTAATAATAGTGGTTTGTGTCTATCTTACTGTTATTTTAAAAAGGCAAATGTACAGTAAACTGATCTAAACTAGTAAAGTTGAAAACTTACTTGAAAACAAATTTTAGATTTTTCTGGATTTATTTGAAGTAAGTCCTCTAAATCTTGGTAACTTAACTGTTGTTACTATATGAATTAATGTAAAGTTTTATGAGTCTGCACATTAATCTGTAGATACAGATTATAGTATGTGAGGCAGATTAAAATGTTACTGTATGAAAACCAAGAAGCACTACAGTGTTATGTAAAGATGAAATTAAAAGAGACCTTATGATCTAGTAAAAAAGAGTAATGACACTTGGGTAGAAATAATACATAATTTTACTAAGTAAAAATTTTAAAAATATTGTGTCATGTCCTCTATCACTGTTAAGTGCATTACTAGTTTGCCAATGGGGAGCAAAGTTTGATTTTCTATGTGCTGTCATCCTAGCATTTAGTAAATCCACATAGTTCTACTTCTGTTTTATTTGTCTGTGTGATGATTCTTTGTATGAATCAACAGTGTATCCCTGAGTAGTCTGTATATTTCCTGCATAGAATATTTATTCAACTGTTGCCAGAAGTTGGGATCTTGCCAAAATAATGTCTGCTTTGGGTAATTTCGACCAATTAACCCTATTTGAAAAGAGATCTTTCCCCTCCTCTAGCAATTGGATGTCTTCTGTATCATCTTACTGACTTCCCAAGTTTGGCTTACTTTCTGTTCTACCTTTCTCAGGCATCTACAGCCAAGGAGCACATTTTGTTTATTGAAGCATTAGATACTATGTTTTTTAGACTTATCAGAGCCTGGCCCAGAAATCTTGCTTTTATGCTTATAAGGGGATCGCTCTTGGAACACAGTATACTTTGAAGGAAAAACTGTTGCCAATTTAGAATGAGCAAATGTTTTCATTTGTGGGAAAGCAATAGTGGATACAGCTTTAGCTATTGAGGTGGAATTCTGAGAAACAGTGGGCTCTAAAAGATTGTCCTTTTGTTGTTTAGTTTAATAGAAATGGAAGGGTATTTAAGTGAGGTTTTATATATACTTTTAATATTGCTTGAGCATTTCTTGGTTTTAAAAGTTTGTAAAAGATTAGATTACATGTTACACAATTTCATATGTCTATTGTAAAGAGAGTTCAGAAGGAACCTCGGAAGTCTCTCTCTAAGTCTTTCTGTTCTCATAACGAGAGCTAGATGATTTATCAGGCGGGTCCTCTTCAGGTAGACATTCATAAGAGAAGTTTTCCAGTAGCTCTTTCTATGTCGTTTCTAACTTGGGGAATTTCAGAGAGGGCCTAACTTTAAGAACAGTTATTGGAGCTAGCAATTGGGATAGATGTTCGATCACTTTATTATGTTTGGTGTTCAGCAGCAGTAGTATCCTTATTCTTTAACTGAATATGTTCTGTATATAATGCATCTGGCAGTTTTACAAGCCTTGTTTGGAAGATAGCCTGTCTTGATAAAAGATAAAATGCATATTATCGTTTACATAAATTATGGATGATTAACAAGCTTTAATAGTATGAGACTGTGTGGAGAGCAAAGCTTTGTTAACTTGTAAGTTATATTGGTGAATCCCGTGAAAGAGTACATTTTTGAGTTGTGTTGAGGTTTAACATTTTATTTTGCTTTCTGTCATTATGCTAAGGATTCAGCTGGTTTTGTTCACCCCTCCCAGAATATTGTTACTTTTTAGAGATAAAAGTTACTAATCATAAGGCTGTAACTCTTCCCTACTGTCTAGCTCATCCAAGTTGATATCAAGGGATGTAAGGGAGGATGTATGGTCACTGTGAAAGCAGGGCTATTGTGTTGTTACAGATAACAAGAATGGATGATTTGAAACTTTTTTTCAGCCTTGTCCTTTTACAACCCCCAACATCTGGTAGAAACTGGTTTGCTCTCAATGACTGTAATTACCATCAAATACAGCCTGAGAGTTTACTTGTGTCATTTTCAGTTTTTGTGATTTACATTAAACAGTTTCAGCATTGAGAGTGAGATGCTTAAGAATTTTAATTTCATGTGAGTGTGCAGCAATTATAAGAAACTATTAATTTAGGGCTGGTTACCAAATGAAATTTTAGAACCTTCAGTGCTGCCCTTTAGTATTTTCCATCTCCTGCCTTTACTCTGGAAATGAATTTTTTAACTTCAATCTACAAAAGTGCATCAAAATTCCTCTGTCCATATCGTTTATTTTAGATATTTCTCTATGAGCGAATATATGCTAGAATGTACATTTATATAGAAAAAGTAATGTATATAACCTAGAAGAAAGTCATTTTTATAACTTATGTATCTCTCTCTGATTTTTATTTGCATCACTTCTGCGTTGCCCAGTATTTTGAGTGGGGGAGAAATGAACTCACCTGGCCCCACCTCTTGTTTCGGTGTGAAATACTGACACTTGCTGCCAGCCCAGCCTCCTCACACAGGGCATCAGAAATATCAGACAGTCCTCTAGGTTAGAGCACCTCATTCATGAGGTTCTCTATTATTTATTTGACTCTCCCACTAAAACACAGGGCATAAATTTATGTGTCTGCTCTAGGACTGCAGCTGCCTGTCAGCCCCCGTCCTCCTGCTCCCTTTCCTGTGTCAGTGTTACATTCTCTCCCCGGTTTTGGTCTCAGGTCTGTCTCCTTTTTGTTTTTATGGGTGATTTGCAATGATTTAGGGCACCCCTGCGTGTTGGCACTTCCTGGAGGTTACCAGGAGGCAGCCATCCTTCCTTGGCTTGGCCAGGCATTCCCGACTCCACCTCACTTTTCCCTTGGTGGTGGAAAGGTTGGTAGGAGGTGTGTACTGGGGCACATAGCCCAGGAATAGTGCTCTGAGAAGAGGATATGTGCATTAGACACAAAAATATAAGGAAGCAATTATGTTCATCAACCCGAAAGTTGCAGATTTTGAGGAAATGTGTTTAAGATACCACTACATAATATAAAGGGAAAACTTGGCATTTAAATAACTTACTTCAAGGGTAAATTATATTTTCAATCTACAAATAGAGTGGTTTTTAAGCCAACCTTGAGTAGGTACAAGCAAATTATAAACAGTCTGCTCAAATGATTTTACTATACTTAGACTAGAAAATGGCTCCTTATCTCCCTCCCTCTGGTCCCTATGTCCCAGTGCTGTCCCTCATGTGTTGCAGTTGTTTGTGTATGTATTTCAGAATATTCACAGGTAAATGATACAGATAATGTTAAATCATCCTCAAACTGGGTGTATATGACTTTAGGTAAAACAGTCATTTCCTTTAATTGTCTATTGAAAGCTTTCTGATCTTTCTGATAATACTATACTTTTTAGCAATACTTTTGGAGGGGGGGAATAGCCATTTTAACAGCAAAACTTGCCACCTATACCTACTGTATAGGGTATTTTGCTATGTTATATATTGAAGGCTATATTTTAATGATAGAAACTTTCTTAAGTTTGTATGACTTCTAGAAAGCTGCTTTGAGAGTGAAAATCTCCTGGGTCATTTGTTGAAAGCTTACTTAGACTGGATGTGTAATATTTTTTCTTACATCTCATGATTGAAACCATGAGAATTGTGGTTCAGAGAGAAGTACTGAAGTGAATGTCTATAAGGTATCATTTGAGAAGGATTCTGGAATTTAGGGTTTTGTTGTTGTTATAGAGATGGGATCTTGCTGTGTTGCTCAGGCTGGTCTCCAACTCCTGGTCTCAAGTGAGCCTCACATAGCTAAAAGTGGTGAAGCTTGGACATGAATACTGGCCCTTAACTTCTCTGCTATCCTGTCTCTCATAGTCTGCTTCTTTCATAGTAAATAAATACAGATTATACTTATTATCAGGCCAAAATTGTGACCACAGTGTGGGACATAGGGACTTGGTTGCATTGCTCCAACCAGCAAGAAGCTTGGGTGTCAGCTTTGAGAATTATTCCCTTCTGTGTTACCTCTTAAATCAACTGTGTACCATTGGTGCAGCCTCCCTAAATGGATACAATATTTCTTCATTCTGCTTACATATGGCTCTTTAAAAAAAAAAAAACTAACTCCACTGCGCTGTTGTATCAGAAGTGGCCAGAAGAAATTAGTGTAGTACAGCTGAGACTGGGCAGCCCAGATTACAGGGAAGAAGCGGCCTAGCGGTTTGACTGGTATGTATTATGTTCCTTAGCCCTCCTTGCGCTTTGTCCTTACTCTTGATTGTCCTCTGTCATCTTCCTTAAGTTCTCTGTCTTCTAGTGCACTTGGCCTTCCCTTTGAATTTTTTTTTTTTTTTCTATCCAGAAAAGAAAAGAAGCCACTACAAAAAGTAAAGGAGGGCAAAGGCGATTTAGAAGTCTGGGGGCCAGAAGGAAGGGGAAGTAGCATAGAATAGGAGCTCTAGGAAAGACTTGAAATGCAGATTTCAACTTGTCCTGCTGCATTGTTTTTTCTTTTGGTAAGCAGTTATTGAACACCTCGAGTAGCAGTCTTTTATGGTTTCCTCACAGTCTTTGTAAGTCTCTTTGTTCAGCTCTTTTAGTACTTAAACCTCTGTCACTGGCTTGTTCTTGCTTACCTAAATAGTATTTTGATTGTGTTAGTGATGACGAGCACACTGATTTTCTTACATGATTTTTTATTTTCTTACCGAGAGGAATTCAGCAAGCAGGAGCTGATCATGGTCCTTCCCACTTGGGGTCAGTAAAGTTCACCTGACTTTCGGGGCATATCTTAAGACCTTTGGCGATAGCAGCCAGAACCAACTGAGGGAAGGAAAGTTTGGAGGCGGCAGGATGTGAGAGAGGAAGCAACCATGCTATGTGCAGGGAGGCGAGCTGCCACGGAGAGAGGGCACCGAGGGAGGAGCAACCAGGCAGCTACTGCAGGAGAGCCGGGCACAGGAGCTTCTCGAGGGGCCAGCAAGATCCCCCACTAGGGGGCATTGATTAAGAGGCCTTGTGCAGAGGAACTCGGGGCTACAGGGGTGTCAGATCTACCTAGTTAAATTTGAAAACCTTCAATTTCGTGTCCTGGCATTGGCTCTTCCCTGGGCTGTCTGTCATGGGTGAGCTATTGCAGCACAGACTTCACATTGGCTAACCCAAAACAGAGACTGGGAGGAGCCCCTTACAACACCTGTAGTTTCCACATGGTGCAAGATCACTCTTGAAACTGGAGGCTGGCAGCCCAAACCCAGAGCTGGTAGATTATAGTTCATAGTGCTGTTGAAATACAACTCCTGTTTAAAGAGTTTGGGCCCAATGAGGTAGGCTTGTTTGTTTAAGAAAATGTTAACCTTTACATTTGCTTAATCTTAAAAGATTTTTTAAAAGAGACAGCTTGTATATTAGAAATTATACATGCACATAAAACAATGTGTTAATTACTGGTGTCAAATTTCTGATTGGAGTCGAAGTTCTTTTATTGTTGGTAAAATGATCAGACACTTCATCATCAGTTCTCTTCATTTTTTTCTTCCTCTTCTCTGTTTTCTGTTTTAGTTGCTGATATGTGTTCAAGATGAGTGGGATGGGAGAAAATACCTCTGACCCCTCCAGGGCAGAGACAAGAAAGCGCAAGGAATGTCCTGACCAACTTGGACCCAGGTTAGATTCTTGCTGAGAAAAGGAATCAGTATTGTCTATTAAAGCCACAGGAGTGCTTCTTTGTTATTTTAGCATTGATTTTACTCCTGATTCAAATATTGTGTTGGTTTTTCTCTTTAACAATTAAATCTTTGAATATATACTTACTTACATTTTGAATATGCAAATCAGTTACAGATTGTATTCTTTACAAAAAGGAAAGCTGTAAACTTCTGATATCTTTTGACTCTTAGAGTCAATTTATTTAATAATTCTGAGTTTTTCACACCTTTTCTGTTAGATTACACAGCATTATAACAAGAAGATCCTATAGTAAAAAGATGTGCTGTTAATTTTATAATGGGTTTTATTTTTTGTTGTTTTATTTTTAATGACATAAAATGTTAAACCCATGTACTTCTGAGTTGAGAACAAAGAATGTGACTCTTTAGTGAATAAAACAAACAATTTTAAAGCAAATTTCATCTCATATATTATGGGTGGAAGTGTGAATTGCTATAATGCCCATGTGGGGTAGTTTGGCACTATCAAAATTATAAATGCATATCCTGTTTGAACTAGCCATTCCACTTTTAGGAACTTTCCTATTACATACTTTCATACTTGCAAAATGATGTGTATATGAGGTTACTGAAATTGCAAAAGATTCGGAAAAACCTAAATGTCTATTAAACAGTGTGGTACATCTAGAACCTGGAACACAGTGCAGCTGGGATAAAGATGAGGACGCTCTTTATGGGTTAATATGAAAAAAAAAAATCTCTTAAGAATATTGTTACAGATGAAAAGCAAGGTTTAGAAAATGTTTATGGAATACTACCATTAGTATAAACAAGAAAAAAATAATCTGTATTGTTTTAGGATAATCAAGAAACAGTAATTGTTGCTACCTGTTTCGGTGGATGAGAACAAGGCAAATAATTCTCATCAAAAGTAGAAGAGAGACTTTTCACTTTTTCAATGTTTTAAATCATGTAAATAATTTTAAGAATTAAATAAAAACAACATCTTCTACCTAATGGACAATAAAAACATCAGACATGAAATAGTAGGGAAGAGGGCTAGGAAAAGTCATCAAGAGAGGCAGAGCAGGAGAAAGGGCAAAACACCAATATTTTATATTCTCTTTTCCCCTTCTAGTTGCCAAGCAAAACATCAAGCCCATTAAATCTCCACTCTCCACATCCCAGCCCCCAGCTCTTCTAGGTTCCCTAGTACTTGCTGGTAAACCACAAACTTCTGTCTGTCAGACTGCCTTTAATAGTCAGTACCCTACCTGGGGAGGCAGTGGGAGAAAATGGGAACTGTTCCAGCTGTGGGCTTTAGTGGCGGGTCTCTGAGCCCTCCCTCTGGGGTGCTGAGGGGTCTTTTGAACACAACTCCCCTTTCTCACCTATTTGTCATTTATTTCTTACCTTGTGTGAGGGTGGGAGGGCATGAGTGGAGGGGGCCAGAATGGGAACTGGGCTATTCTAAGTATTCCAGCCACTCTTTCCCTTTTGCTGTAAGAACGGAAGCTACGGGTAAAAATGAGACCTAGTAAAAAACACAAATTCTGAATTACTGTGCCAGTAATTCGTGGGGTGATCCTGGACAAATTGTGTAAACACTATAAAATAGAGACATTGTATTATATTATGTATTACTTCATGAAAATCAAACATATTTAGAGATGAATATATGAAAGTCTATTGTGAATCCAGAAATTTTTAAATTAATATTATATACAAATAGTTATATATAAAAATACAGAAAGCTGCTATATTAAGCAACTTGCTTTTCTTCCTTGTTGTACTGTTTGAATGTCATTTAATGGGCCCCCCTTTGCACTTGAGAAAATAATTGTATGCTGTTATTATGAAAAGGAACTTTTGAGTTTACTATTTTGTCACATTCTAATGAGAAGATTTTGCCTCTTTCGATATTTTTCCATTCCATTACCTTTTTAAACTTTAGTTGAAATTGGACTGTTTGTTTATATTTTGCATGTCATTCAGCTTGGACAGTTAACATATTTCCTGGCTCAGTTTCGCTTTTGTTTCTAGCTGTGTTGTGACTTTTTGCATTACCTAAAAAGGCTGTTTGATTTGCTTACTAACATTCTGAAGAAGTCTATAAAATTATAAATATCTGGTTTTATTTTTTATGTTTTACCAAAAATTATTGAAATTTATTCCTGTTATAACTGGATTAACTTCTCTCCTTTTACTAATCTTAAATAAAATTTAAAATATAACCTCCTTTACCTTTTTGAAACATTATTTTATTTGTCAATTAATTTGATGCCCACTTGTTTCAAGTACTGCACTAAGCACAGTGGTGAGCACAGTCCTGGTCACCGTGAAGCAGACAGTCCAGTGGGAGATGCCAAACACATTGAACAGATAGTTTCATTACAAACTGGGCTTAGGTTGATTTTTATTTTTTAAACATGGAACACTTTTGGAAAATTGTCCCCCCCAAGGTATTTCTGCATTGATATAGGTAACTTTTGTTTGCTATCTTTGTATTAAACTTGTTTAACACATTCATTTTTTTCACAATAGCTCTTTTTCAAATACATCATAAAAAAATGTGTTTCTTCTTTTAAGCCCCAAAAGGAACACTGAAAAACGTAATCGTGAACAGGAAAATAAATATATAGAAGAACTTGCAGAGCTGATTTTTGCAAATTTTAATGATATAGACAACTTTAACTTCAAACCTGACAAATGTGCAATCTTAAAAGAAACTGTGAAGCAAATTCGTCAGATCAAAGAACAAGGTAAGAGGACTGAATTAGTATTTTGAAGAGTTGAATTGGTTTCTGTTTTTCCCTGTGTGAGAAGTCCCTTCAGAGTCCCTTTAATCCATTTCTTGTGCTTAAATTATTGATGAGGAAATGATGTCACAGTGTAAGATGAATGCAAGTATCACTTGCAGTGGTTTATAAATAGGCTTTGTATAAAATTCAGCCATTCCCTAAAGACAGAGGAGACTGAGGTGAGTCAGGGTGATGGAACTTTTCATCTAGTAAACTCAATTAGGTGCCCACAATTCTTCACCCCACACCGTGGCATTTTCAAGGCATACACAGCAAGTGACCGTCAAAAGTTGCAAGTAGGAGCCAGTTTGAGATGTAAACCAGAAGTAAGGAAGTGAAGCACCTCCTGTTTCAGCTAGTCAGCGTATTTGATTAGTCTGAGCCTCAACTAGCCACGCCACTAGATTAGAATTTCATGTCCTGAATGACAAGAGATTTGAAAGGCTCTAACCTCCAGTAAGAAATCCATCTGTGAATTCAAAACACAGAATGTGACAGTTCTCTTCCTATGGTTTTATTTTTTTCTGAGATCATTTTATGATTCTTTTCTTTGATATTTTTGCCTACAGAAAAATATTAAGAAAATAATGTTTTTAAGAACACATTTGACTTTGTGGTGCCAAAAATAAATCTTTATGCGGCATGTATGAAAAATATCTTGGTGCCCAGGGCCAATACATGCTCTTCAAGTATCTGGATACTGCTTTCCTTCAGGCCTGGGGAGATTATTATCTTTTGTAATCTGGTGTTTTTTTGAGACAGAGTCTCACTCTGTCGCCCAGGCTAGAGTGCAGTGGTGTGATCCTCAACTCACTGCAACCTCTGCCTCCTGGGTTCAAGCGATTCTCCTGCGTCAGCCTCCCGAGTAGCTGGGATTACAGGTGCCTGCCACCATGCCCTGCTAGTTTTTTAGTATTTTTAGTAAAAACAGGGTTTCACCATGTTTGCCAGGCTGGCCTCGAACTCCTGACCTCAAGCAACCCTCCTGCCTTGGCCTCCCAAAGGTTTGGGATTACAGGCGTGAGCCACTGCGCCTGACCTGTAATCTGTTTTTGAGTGTATCCTCTTAAGAGTTCAAATTTTTAAAATCTGCCTTTTATATAATATTCAAAAAAGACATTTTATTAAAATAATTTGTCTTTGTCTTTATAATATATGAGTCTGAAACTAACTGCTCTTATCTGTCACAAAATCCTAGCTACCTATTAGCATATTGTCTTAGCGTTTTCCATTTTCATACATATATTGTTGAGCTAAATTCTGTATAAAACAGTTTTACAAGTATAGTTCTGTCTTCTAAAAACATAAAAATATACATATAGCATCCACAACACAGTTTCTAACACCAGCCCTCTCTGCAAATCAGTCTTTATTTCCTGATTTCTCCATGACATTTAACATCCAGTAGACCAGTGCCCATTTCAGTCCCCTTCATCACTCATCTTTCTTTTCCCTTTGGGGTTCACTAGTTATCAAAAACTCAGTTAAAACCTCAATTTTGTATCTTCATATTTTGGTTTCTGCAAAGGGATAAAATAATATTCCTAGAACTCTTAGGAGAAATAATTGGTTAAAGTTATTAACCAGTGCCTTGAAGTTACTGTGTTTCTAGTTGCTGGTATCATTACAGTAAAGAAATCATTAAGCTTCTTGTTTTAGGTTTCTAAGGATTATGAATGATTCAGTTTTGAGAACACTGCATGTTTAGGTAGTACTTCTGCGTTTCAAAACAATTATATATATAAACCACAATGAAAGTCTTGCACAAGTTTTTAAAGTTTGCAAAACCTTGGTAATTCCCCCTTCAAACCATAAAACACGTTCAGATGTGTCATGCTGGGACTGCGCCATACCTTAACCATAGTTTTAATCATAAGGCTGCATACCACAACCACCCAAGAAGCAGCAATAAACACCCTGTCACGTCTTATTCTTCTAAGAATGTTCCTGCTAATTTGAAAAGCAGCGTGTTTTGTAAAGGGAAGCAAAACTTAAATGCTGAATGAAAATATGAAAAGCAGAAATGTACTTTTAAGTTCTCAACTACTCTGATATTTTCCAAATAGTCTTTGTTTAATAATTCGTTTTTTAAAAAGAGCAGAATTGAATCAGACAGGAGCTAGGTATGAATCCTGGTCCATTTAGGAGCTTTTTGAACCTGGGCGTATTATCTTATCTCTGAGACTCAGTTGCCTCATACAGAGTATAGTGCTAACAACACCTAGGTCACATAGCTGTAGAAGATATTATGAACCATGTAAATTCAGTAAACACCTGTCATAGTAAACATTCAGTAGTTAGTTTTCATTCCTACTTAAGCAGAAAGGGGCCATTTTTTCTTTTCTTTTCTTTTTTTTGAGATGGAGTCTCACTCTGTTGCCCAGGCTGGAATGCAGTGGCACGATCTCAGCTTACTGCAACCTCCACCTCCCGGGTTCAAGCAATTCTCCTGCCTCAGCCTCCCGAGTAGGTGGGATTACAGGCATGCACCACCACGCCCGGCTAATTTTTGTATTTTTAGTAGAGATGGGGTTTCACCATGTTGGCCAGGCTGGTCTCGAACTCCTGACCTCATGATCTGCCCGCCTCGGCCTCCCAAAGTGCTGGGATTACAGGGGTGAGCCACTGTGCCCAGCCTATCTGTAGGAAGTAAAAAATTTTTCTGGTGCCAGAAAATCTGTGCAGCCCTTGCGTACCACTCCATCAGCAGCTCTATTTGGACCAGTTTGAATTTTCTCAGCATCTGGCAGCCAGTAAGAATGACACGTAAGTCAGGCCAAAGCCTTTCTCTCTAACTCTGTGTCTTCCCCAACCCCAACTGATCCCCCGACCAATCAGCATAAATAAAATCCAACTACCATCTTTACACCATTATCCAGACTTAATTTGTATTTCAGTCATAGTTGTCAGCATGAATAAAATGCATTTGGGAGCCTAGGAGAACAGGCCTGTAGACACATGCAATAAACCTGTGTATTTATCCTAGAGAAGTTAAACTGGGTTGCATGAGGGGCCATACTAAAGAATACACAATGAGGAAAGCTGGGCTCATCTTTATGGAACCCTGCTCCAGTGTCAGAAGCTATGGCGTGTCAGCCAGGCATGGAGGGCTCTTTCCCTCAAGTCTGTGCTCTTGTCAGTTACTCCTCAACTTTTATATGCTTTATAAATAAAGAGAGAGAAGAAAAAGATTTTTAAATGGCCTAAAGGATGGAAATTTGGAGGGGAAATTACCAGCTAGTTAAATTAATAAGCATTCTGTTGTACGTGGCGCTTTATGAGACCCATGTTTCATAAATGCTCGCCCTCCAAGAGCGTTAACTGTGGAGTGGACTTTGTAGAAACAGAGCAAGTACACACAAGAGTTTGATGCTAATAGTGTAACTGCCATCAAATAGAAAATTCCATACATGTTGGTGGGGTTTTTTTGGCCCACATTCATAATCCTTAGTTATTAGCTAAGTTAGTTACTTAGTAATTAAGTTAGATCTTCTGTTCGCTAAATAATCTTGGAGAATTTTTAATACTAAGACTAAATAGTTCTTATTGTGTGTCAGGCAGTTTTTAAAGTGCCCAGATTTGATAACCTATTTAGTACTCAAAACAAACCATGGAATAGGTGCATTTTTTTCCCCCTTGGCAGGAGTGGAACCTGAGACACAGAGTGGTTAAGTAGCCTGGCAAAGTCACACAGCCATTAAGCGAAGGAATAGGGCAGTCTGGATCTGGAATCTGCACCGTCATCGCAGCTTTCTGATACTAAACTAGGATATTTCTTTATATTTGGTATGATGGTCATAAACGTTTAGAACTTCTGTCTTCTATAACTTAGAAACAGGAGTCATGGAAACAGATAGCAAATAACCATTTTTCCTAACTGGGAGGCTAATATTGCTTCTATTCCACAGAAAATAGTAAGCACAGGCATACGTCAGAGATACCACAGGTTCAGTTCCAGACCCGCACCATAAAGCGAATATAAAATAAAACAAGTGACATGAATTTTTTGGTTTCCCAGGGTATATAAAGGTTATACTTCACTATACTGTAGTCTTTCAAGTGCACAATGCTATTACTTCTTTTAAAAAGTAATATATCCTAATTTAAAAATACCTTAATGCTAAAAAGTGCTAACAAGCATATGAGCCTCATCAACAAGTTCTAATCTCTTGCCAGTAGGAGGGTCTTGCTTCAATGTTGATGGCTGCTGACTGATCAGGGTGGGAATTGCTAAAGGCTGGGGTGGCTATAACGATTTTTAAAAATAAGATAACAATGAAATTTGCCACACTGATGGACTCTTACTTTCATGAAAGATTTCTCTGTACCATGCAATGCTGTTTGATGGCATTATACCCACAGTAGAACTTTCAAAATTGGAATCAGTCCTCTCAAACACTGTTCCTGCCTTATCAACTAAGTTTATGGAATATTCTAAATCCTTTGTTGTCATTTCAGCAGTGTTCACAGCATCTTTACCAGGAGTTGATTCCATCTCAAGAAACCATTTTCTTTGCTTATCCACAAAAAGCAACTCCTCGTTTGTTCAAGTTTCATCATGAGATTGCAGCAATTCAGTCACATCTCGGGCTTCACTTCTAATTCCAGTTCTCTTGTTATTTCCACTGCATCTAGAGTTACTTCCTCCACTGAAGTCAGGAATCCCTTCAAGTCATCCATGAGGGTTGGAATCAGCTTCTTCTAAATCCCTGTTCATGTTGATCTTTTGACCTCCTCCCATGAATCATGAATGTTCTTCATGGCATCTAGAATGGTGATTCCTTTCCAGAATGTTTTTCTTTGTACTTTGCCCAGATATATCAGAAGAACCACTGTCTGTGGCAGTACACCTTGAAACATGGCTACAGCATAGATACTATGTTAGCAGACATGAAAACAAATATTTCTGGCCTTGCACATCCTCATCATAGCTCTTGGGTGACTGGGTCCATTGCCAGTGA